GGCCCAAAGGGGAAAGGAGCGAACCCTGGGCCTGGCTCCTGCAGGCTCACAGTTTGGCAAGTGGTGGGAAGCCTGCCTCTCGGGTGGGGCATGTAGATTTGGGGCCTGGAGGGGCTGGATCCTTCAGGCTTGGCCCATTGGGCCCTCCGGTCCCACTGAGTGGTGACAACCAGAGAAAATAGTCATTCAGGCCCCTTGCTGTCTCTTTGTTTCTCTCGGTGTCTCTGTCTCACACTGATACTCATTTTTCCCTCCAATGGTCTCTCCACGCCCCCACTTCAGGCCTGGACCCCCGACCTCTAGCCCCAGGCCTGGCGCTCCTGTCCCGGGGTGCTGGTGAGGACGGAGCATTGACATGCAATGAAGAGACTTGTCGTGGTAATGACGTTCCCACAAACGCCGCTCGGCTGGCTCCAGGGTCTACTGGGGCGCTCGCCTGGGCCTTTCTTCAACGCCCAGAACTCCGGCCTGGCGCAGAGTTCGCAGGCGGCGATCTGCATCTCAAAGACACCCTCGGCGGGAATACAACAACAGTTTAGCAGTCCTGGCGGGTGCGGAGCCACAAATCTGCAAGGCTTGGCTCAGCAAGGGGGTGGGGAGCGGGTGGAGAAGATGAAGGGCCTTGAATGCCTTCCCCAGCCCACAAACTGAAAGAAAGCGAAACTTGAAGTTCCCTTAAGCACAGTGTGGCGACGTCTGAGGGTGTAAAAATCCCATGCTCCCAGGCCTAGGATTTGGCCTACAAATCAGGCTCTGCAGCTGTGGCCGCTTGCTGGGAAGGTGTAAATGCTCGAGGCGGCCCATCTCCCGACTTGAAGACACTGCGTTGGGTGGCGGGCCCCGGGGGCAGCCCCTCAGGTGTTTGGTGTGAGTGCTGGAAGTTGACCATTTTCCAGGTGGAGCGTGGCTCCTAACCTCAGGCTGTGTTTAGCCAGAGAACTGTGCTAGTGTTCAGGTGGGGAAAAGGACTGTAAGGCAGTGCCCAGGGGAGGGTGTCCCTCATGCTCTAAATCCCCCTTCCATCTCGAGTCTTTTTCTTAACTTTTGGGAGGGCCTCTGGCCTACTCTGCCTGGCTTGGGGCATTTGCTGCAGTCATCCGGAAGGAGAATTGCTCTTCTGCAGATGGGGGAGGGGGAGGAGGTGGTCCTCCCTCCTCTTGCCTTCCTTCCACCTGTTAAGAAATGCTCGGATTTGCCAAGCGCCTTTACCCTTCTGCAAGGACACACTATGGAGACCCGGGAGGCCTGGAGATTTGGAAGAAACAGGCCTAGATGGAAACAGAAGTCATTCCTAGAGCAACTCTGAGGCCGACCTACTGTTGGTGAGTTTGCAGTATTCAAGAGGGAGAAAGACACGCAAAAACTTTTTTATGGAGGACGAATGAGAAGCTCAGCCAGAGAAATTAATTACTCTGTATTTCGAAGGATTACATCACGTCTTTCTTTTTAATTTCTTCTTTAAAACAATTCACTAAAACAGAAGAAAAAAATATTTAACGTCCCGGTGAGGCGAGCAGGTCCCTGTATGGAGCGGAAAAGCCTGGACTGGCCAACCTGGACTAGGGGGTGGCCCCCGGTCCTCCGGGTTCCGCGTCAGCCGGGCACTGCGCCGCGAGCGCGCCCGCTTTAGTAACATCACCAAATCATGAAGGAACTCTCCCTGCTTTAATTAAAAAGGGGGATCTTGGGAAAACTGGAGCAGATTAGCACAGCGAAGAGTTGGTTCCCAGCGATTTATTTTGATGCATGCATGACACGGAGCACACATGTCGGTGTTTCGGCACAACTCCAGGAGCGACTGTGAGTCTCCGTAGGAGTTCTGTATTTTGTCCACATCGCACCTAGGAAACCCTTAGCCCCAACACCACGTTGAATTATCAGTCAGCCCTAGCTTCATACAAACGAGAGGAAAATCATTTAACCCCTGGAGCTGTCAACTAACCTCTTCAGGGTACAATTTTTATTTTACACGCGGCAATTAAAGGATCGCAAACCCCAGCCGAGCGACTGGAGCCGTTTGGCAAAATCTTCAACCTGGGGGGGGGGGGTAGGGGGGTGGGAAGCGCAAAGCCAATAAAACTCCCAAGGCGCTGCGGCCCGAGGTGGTGGCTGCCGCGAGCGGAGGCGATCTCTTGTTGGGCAAAAATCCTGGAGTGACTTTGCCGGTCTTGGTTTGATGATTATATTTAATTGCGAAAGGGATAATAATTTCTAATAAAATTGGACGGGGCCGCAAGGACAGCGCGGTTAGCGTTGGCAGGGGTGAGGGAGAGGTGCTGAAAGCCGAGCCCCAGGCGCAGCCGCTTGGACCCTGTACGGTGCCGGGTTTTTGCGGAGGGCATCTCCCTCGAGGAGGAGACGGAGAGGAAGAGGAGAGGGGTAGAATGGCGCGGCGGGGAGACTGCGGGTGGCTGGGGCCGGGGCGCGCGGCTGGTCTCAGCGGAGATTTTGTCGGCTCACAGGCGGGCGTGCGCTCTAGGAGCAAGTTCGCCGCTCAGAGAGGCCTTTATACCTGGGTCGGAGCGGCCGGCCGCAGATTGCGGTGCTGGCGAGCAATTGGACTATTGTTGATATGCTAATGAGGCGATTAGGCTGTTGGTAAAGAGCTGGAAAAGGGAAAAGTTTCTACCATTAGAGGGAGATCTCCGAGCGCACACGGGAGCTCTTTCGCTTCTCGCCTCCTCCTCCTCACCCTCCTCCTCCTCGCTCTCCTCCTCCTCCTCCTTTTTGCCCTCCTCCTCCTCCTCCTCGCCCTCCTCCTCCTCCTCCTCCTCGCCCTCCTCCTCCTCCTCCTGCGCTCACCGCCGGCAGCCGACACTTTGCGCTTACCCAGAGAGTAGCTCCACTTGGGTGCGAGGCGGAGAAGGGGGCAAATCCGTTCACGCCGATCCATGAAAATGCTTTGGAAACTGACGGATAATATCAAGTACGAGGACTGCGAGGTAAGCGCGGCGTTGGCTATCCTTACGGCCGCAGGCTCCGAGCTCTACCTTCCCGCGCCTCCTCCTCTCCTCGCAGCCAGCTGCGAAATGCGGGTGGGACAAACTTTCCCCAGCGCAGCGCCCGCCTCTCCAATTCGCCCGGAGAACGCAGGGGAGAAGCTGGAGAGGAAGGATGTGGACGCTGTCTTCTTTCATTTCCCTCCTTCGAAGCTGGTGTCCCACTCCCCCCCCCCCCCACCTATTTTTTTCTGCCCAGTTTTGGGCTTGCCTAAGAGTGGAGCGAAGAGACGAGCATGGGTCTTTGAAGCAGTTCCTGGCAATTGGGCACGCGTCTGTGCACCCTGCGTGTCTCTCCAGCGAGATTCTGGGGGCCGAGTCACCAAGAAGAGAAAGGAAAGAGAAAACCCATTTCCCTCCTTATACTTCCTCTCCGATCTTTAAAATTCCTTATTTTATTTATTCATTTTTTTTCCTTCCTTCCTATCTTCCCCCTCCCCCTTTCTAAAAAGGAAGGGTCTCTTCTGTTTGGAGAAGGAGCCTGCACACTTCGCTCTGAGCTGTGTTGCACCTCCCAGTTATTGGGTTCAGTCTGGAAGCACCTCTCTCCCAAATTGCTGCGGGGCTCGCTCCAGGTATCTATGTTATTGAAGAAGTTCTAAGCAGCTTCTCCCTCTGAGGGATACTCTGAGAGCATCCCTGGGGTGGAGGTGGGAGGGCTGCACCGCGTGGAGCCGCCTAGTCGCCGGGTCCTCAAGCTTCGGCCCCTGCAGCGGCCTGGCAGTCGGCTGCGTGACCGTGGGAATCCTGGCGGGGCTGCACACGACCTCGGGTGCGCGGAGCCCGCGGCGCCGATGGAGCGCGCCTCTTTGGAGCCCATTTTAAAGACCCAGGGTCTCCGGAGCTCGGCTTCTCGGGGCAGCCGGGGCAGCTCCAGCACCACTGCCCCGCCCGCGGGAGGCGCTGGGAGCCGGCCTGGCTGCCGCGGCCCCGAACTCCTTCACAACCCCGGCTGAAATAAGCGGAGGAGTCACAGGAGGGGGAGGGGGCCCGCGGCCGATTACCTAAATAGGTGGTAATCCCGGTTTTTGCTATTTTTTCTTTTCTGTTCTTTTCTTTCTCTTTGGCATTTGGAGCTGGAAATGTCTGGAGCAGAGGTCTGCGCGGGCGCAGCTGCGTGGGTCTTGTCTTCATTTGAAATCAGAACCCGGGTTTGTGTGAACGATGTGTCACCGGTTCCCTTCCCCCTCTCCTCTCCGTCGACTATTTTAAATCTTTCCCCTTTCCCGGGCTCTTTCGTTTCGCCCTCCCCTCACCCCATGGGGCACGGGGTGACATCCCACGGGGACGGCGCTTCTCTGGGGCCTCCTGCTGCGCGCGGTGCGGGGCGCGGAGACCCCGGGGCACACCAGCCGCTTTGTTTTCAGGCCCGTGGCGGGGGGCCGGGGTGGGGGGGTTTGCTCTGCGAACTGGTCCGAGTGCGCTCCTCAGTCTCCGAGAGTGAATTGTCCCCGCCAGGGCTGTGGCCCGCGGCTCGGGCATTTCACTTTGGCGGAGGCCGAAATCCAGCTCCGGACGCCAGGCCCTCGGCGGGCGGGGTGCGAACCTCTGCGCGGCGCCGGGCACCGATGAGCCCTGGGTGGGCGGCGAAGCACTTGAGGGACCCTGTGGGGGCGCGTGCGGATGTGTGTGGAAGTGAGGCAAAGAGAGAGAGCGCGCGAGACCAGAGCGAGGGCTGATTCAAGAACTTTGACTGCGGTGGGCGAGCGCCGGAGCAGGGATTTCGGGTTTCCGAGCCGGCCCAGGGCTGTCTAATTATGTCGGGGCTCTGCAGGGACACGCAGGAGGCGAGGTGCCGCTTGTTCTGACAACGCAGCGGGCGGACTGGCAGCGGCGGCAGCCGTGCCGCGCTGGGAGAGAGGGAGCTGTGTCATCCGGGGGGTGGGGGGCGGCGTCGGGCGGGAGTGGCCCAGCCAGTCGGACGGGTTTGCGCCGGGAGCCGGGAGCCCGTGCCAGCGGCGCCCGAGCTGGGCCGCCTAGCGTCTCCGCGCGCCCCGGACCGCGTCCCGGCTCCCCCTCCCCGAGCCCCTGCCCCGGAGAGCTGAGGGCGGGGCGGCAGCTGCCGCAGAGCGAACGGCCCGGGCTGTCCGAGGGAAACTCGAGCGGCGGCGAGGCGAGGCGAGGGCCGGTGGAGCGGGCGGGCGGGCCGGTCCCGGGCGGGGCGCCGGGCGATGGAGGAGCGGCGCGGCAGCGGGCAGCCGAATCCCGAGTCCCAGGCCCGGCTGCGGAGCGGAGGAGCCCGCGGCCCGAGAGGGCCGGGCAGCACCTCCCGCGCCGAGGGCCCGATGAATGCCCGGACGCGGTCCCCGGCAGCTCCTGCCCGCGACGCGCGGCCCCCACGGTATCCCGAGGTCTGCCCCAGCCTTTTAGGTCTGATTGTCCTCGCTCGCTTCCTCTCCCCCTCCCCCTCCCCCGCGGTCTCCCCCTCCGTGCGCTCCGGCTCGGCCCCCTCCCCCTCCTTCCCTCCCTCCCTCCCTTTTTCCCTCCCTTCCTCCTCTCGGGCTCTCCCTCCTTCCCTCCCTCCCCTCTCCCCACTCTGGGCTCCTCTCTCTCACCCACACTTTCTTTCTCACACACGCACGCAGACACATTCTCCCTCTCTGCGCTCTCTCCCTCGGTTTCCCTCTCTCCCTCTTTCTCTTTCACTTTTGCATGCCCTGCAACCTTTTAAAATGTTGCCCCTTCCCTGTGATTCGCCAGACGCCGCGCCGCGGCCCCCCGCGCGCTCGCCCGCTCCCTCTCTCGCCCGCTTTTTGTCTCTCGCGCTCCCTCTCCCCACCTCCGATTTGCTACACTGAGGCTCCCGTCAATGGACTGCATTGAGAGCCGGCTCCGGCGCGAGTTGCCTCTCCGCTTCACGCTCGATTTCCAGGCATTCTTCCCTTATTAAGTATTCGTGTAATATTAATAGTCATGAATATCTGCTATTAGGAGGCTCCAGGAACGCTGCCCAGCGCGGTTATTAGAAGCTCAAGCGAAGCCGCCGCTAAGAAAAGAGGGGAGACACGGATTAAGGAACACGCACATACACACAGACACACACACACTTTTTTCTTTTCCTTTTTTGGGGTTTTTCATTTTTTAAGGAAGTTTGAATCATAACCGATCACGGCAGGATAGAGACCGTGGGTTCGACCAGCTGAAGGCGCCGCTCGAATCGGTGGTTCAAGTTCGGATGGACCAGAGCGGGGCTCCAGCGCTCGGGGGAGCGTCTGCGCTGTGACTGGAGTCCTGGGTGGCGCGGGGCTCTCGGCGCCTTTTGTGTGGGGCGCGCTCGGGCGGCGGGGCAGCCGGGCTCTCCAGGCTTGCTTGTTTTTTTCCACCCTGACTCGTTACCCCAGACTCTTCGCAGATGTTAGTTCACAGTTTTTCAGCTATGGTGAGTCCCATCCCCACCCCCATCCCTGTTTCCTTAGGAATTCTCTTCTGGAAACCTGGTGTTGCGGAGCTGCCCGCAACCCCGGGTTTCGCGCCCAGGTTTCCTTCAGGGCACCCCTTTTCCATTTGCATTTCTCTCTTTCCCCTTTTCTCTCGCTTTTTTCATTCTTAAGTCGAATGCATTACCCCCCGCCCCCGCTCGACCTCTCCCGGCGCGCAGACCTACCTCGCCGCTACTTCCCCAGGCGTGTTTCTCGCCACGTTCATCCTTATTTCCTTGCGTCTGCACTTGTTCCCGAGATGCTCTCAACGTTTGATGCTTAATCCATCTGTAGGAAAAACGCGGCCGGTGTGTCCCCTGCCCTCGGTGCCCGGGGCTGAACCTCCGAGGGTTCGCACTCCCTTGAATCAAGTCTGTTCGCTTGTTTTGCAAGCGAATTGCAATAGAGGAACATAAAGTCAGGCGTTTCTTCTGCCCTTTGGGGCTGGGGTGCAAGGGGTGGGAGCCTCCGCCCCGGGGTGCACCTTTCTCTTTTAAACCCAATAAGGCTGAATCTTTCTATTTTAAACCTTGACTTGACGTCCCCCCTCTCCCCATCCGTACCATAAATCGACCCTGTCGAGAAAAAGGCTCCTAACTGAGGAAGCGGAAAAGACAGAACCCCATCCTGCAGTTTAAATCTTCTTTAAGCTGGTAATTTAAAGGTGTGCTTTCGTTACAGCCCCTCTACGAAATGTTTCTATTTAAATAGTCACGAAATGGTAATAGTCTTTGAACGTGTATGATTTTTTTTTTCCTTCCAAATAAATGGAACAGGGTAAACAATAACGCAGTGGCAGGCAGGTTCAAATCCGGGGGAAAAAAGAAAAGGCCGCTTCTACTGTTTAATATTTAGCAGGAATTTTAATTTTGCTTAAGGGAGGTTTCACGCTGCAGTTTAACGGGCTGTATTCTGGGAGGCCTTTTTCTATCTCCCTCCCCCACTTTGAAAGAGAAGCCTAAACAGAGCCTCTTATGCCCCCACATTTGCACGATCTAATTCCCTGCGTTTTTGGAAGAGCCCGTTTCACTACTGGGGTATTTTCCGAAATGAACAACTTAGAGCTCATTTCTTTCGGCGGCCTGCCGACGGGAATGAGCGGTTTCCCACGCAGTCCTGCGGAGTGGATTTAGAGTGGACAGCTGTAACTCGACGCCTGATTTCTTGTTCCCCCCTTCTTCTCTCTCTCTCTCTCTCTTAGGACCGCCACGACGGCACCAGCAACGGGACGGCGCGGTTGCCCCAGCTGGGCACTGTAGGTCAATCTCCCTACACGAGCGCCCCGCCGCTGTCCCACACCCCTAATGCCGACTTCCAGCCCCCCTACTTCCCCCCGCCCTACCAGCCTATCTACCCCCAGTCGCAAGATCCTTACTCCCACGTCAACGACCCCTACAGCCTGAACCCCCTGCACGCTCAGCCGCAGCCGCAGCACCCGGGCTGGCCCGGCCAGAGGCAGAGCCAGGAGTCTGGGCTCCTGCACACGCACCGGGGGCTGCCCCACCAGCTTTCGGGCCTGGATCCTCGCAGGGACTACCGGCGGCACGAAGACCTCCTGCACGGCCCACACGGGCTTAGCTCAGGACTCGGAGACCTCCCGATCCACTCCTTACCTCACGCCATCGAGGACGTCCCGGTAAGAGGCCGCGCGGGCGGTGCTAGGGAGAACGCAGCGCCTGCTCACCCACCCCCAGAGAAGATAATCGGGACACACAGCCTGTGGGCCCGGGGTTTTCCTCAATGGCATTTACTCTTTCAAAATTTCATTTTATTTTTTGGGCGGACACTTGGAGAACCCACATAAACGACCGAATTAAAAAATTAAAAGTAGTTGAGAGTTATAGCCCTAGAACAATGGTTCCTGGAGCTCCTTCAAACAATGCCTGCATTACCATTTCCACCGACACAGAAATAAATCAGACGAATGTCACCATTAACAATATCTGCCCCTCTCCACGACAGTAAACTGTTTCGATTGGGAGAGGATCTAATTCCACCGCTGAGTCTGGCGTGGGGGATTGCTCCCTGTCCTGAAAAAGATGTTGAATTCAACCAAAAGAGCTCATTAAATACCCTAGCACTTTAAAATAAAGCGTGAACGACATCCTAAAAAAATTATTTTTACCGGATTTCATAAGCACTAGTGATATCTAAAAGTTATGTGTGTAGCCTACCCTGATTAAAGAATAGTAAGTAGCAAATCGGAGCAGAGGGACATTAAAATGCAGCCTCCTTCTCCTCCTAGGGGTGCTAAGTGCTGACCTCATAAATCATTAGCTGGGTTCCCAACTCCTATCAGAACCTGCTACACCCCATATTAAATTAAATGTTTTGAGACTATTGGGCAATACATTATTTGAGTTCTAATCCAGTTATCAATAAATGCAGTTTAAAACGATTTCTGAATAAGCATGGTATTAGCACATTTACTATTTACAGTGTAAACCAGGCTATTGATAATTTGAAAATACTTTCTGAAATTAAATTTAAACCAGCATCTCTGTTTCAATTCTACGTATTTATGGTTTCCTCACAACCCTCCTGAAATGGAATTAGAATGAGCCAATAATTTTATTAAAGCTGTAAAGGCTCTGTTAATGCTGCTTTTCTTTGGAGAGGAAATGTATCTGGATGTGATTTTTACTAAAATGCTATTTCAAATTAGTGCATCAAATATTGCAGCAATATGTCCGTTGACAGTTTAATGATTACTGCATTAGTTTGCAAAGAAAATGGTCAGATGAACTTACCTGCTTGCTTGGTGAATTTAAAACATTATTTAAGTTACATAGGAAAATAGAAAATTTATTACAGCTCTCATTTGGCCCAGTTAATCACTGAAATTTGTTGGTTATGTTTAGCAGCCTTGCATGGAAAGCAGGAAAAGTAGACACTTAATCCATTGTGGGGTTTAGTAAGCATTGTGTGTGTGTCTGTGTTCATAAATGTTTTTGGAAACTGATACTAAACAGTGCATTTCTTGGGAAGTAAAATAAGAGGAGGAATAGTTGAGAAAATGCAAATTAAAAAAACAAATCTGGAAGTTGTGATCATTTCAGTTCCCCTTCCCAAAGAGTCTCTGAATCTTTTTTCTAGCCCGCTCTTTGGACATATTTGAATTGCAAAATGCACTGCAGCCTTTTGGAATTACCATGAATTAGAATTGCTCTACTTTGCAAAAATTCCAAAGTGGCTGGTGTGACTTCTTAACACCTGTATAGTCACTTTTTGTGGTGAAATTAGTAGGAGAAATTAACCAAAAGATCAAATAAAAACAAGGAAACCCAGTTGCTGCTCTTCCCCACCTTCCCCCACCTATTAAGAAAAAAATTCTTTCAAAGGAATTTGGGTCAGGAAAAGGGTTGTTTTCAATTTTCCCATTGCTGCAACAGTTAACCTTTAATAAGAATGACTGCTAAATATTTAAGAAAATCAAATTGATGGTGAAAATTATTTAATCATTAATATCTCAGTGGGATTTTAAACTTAACAGTCTTCCCTGTATGGACAAGGTCTAGAAATAACACAAATAAAAGTATTATGCCACACTACATTTACTTTATGGGTTTAGGGTGCATGCATAAAGGGATCATATTTCCCCATATAGTTAAAACACAAGAACTGCAGCAGTAGTCATTTCTGAACATTTCTCAATTTAATTATACTTAAATCCAGAAGCACTTTAGGCAAGTTACAAATGAGAGCATTGAGTATAATAAAACCTGTAATAAAGCAACTTAGTACCATCCACCCGGAATCATTGCGATCAGGCACAATTAACAGGAGCATAAATCCAAGACAGAATGGAAAATGTTCAAATCAGTATTATTGTTGGACAAAGACTAGAGAAGGAAGTAATAGTTTTTTAAATGGTAATGCCTGTGTTTGGTAACGATTGCGAAATCTTCTATCTCAGCAGCCCTGGTGCTAATTTGTAAACACAGCCAGACATTATATTGCCTGTCAGTTTCTGCATTAGAAAACATGATTTCATTTTACTTTCTAATCACGTTTTGACTCTAGCACACACGTATACCCATCCATCTGTAAAAAAAAGAGAGAGAGAGAGAGAGAGAAAGAGAGAGAGAAGGAAAAAAAAAAAAAAAACCCACACCAACAAATCCGCTGCTGGACAACAGGAAAAAAAAAATACCCTCAGAGGTTTTTTTTGTTTTTGTTTTTTTTTAATCGTTTTCATATTCCTTTCTGATACCCAGTTTAGGCAGTAATCATCTTTAAAAATTATTTTTAATTTTCCATAAGTGAAGGTGTGTATATGCCTTTGCTTTTTATCACATTACCTAAAACGTTTACAACACTCCCCTCTTACTCCCGCCTCTGTCATTTCTATTGTGTTTCCCTGGCTTTTGCTGCATGAACACTGGAAACGCTGAAGTCCGAAGCTGCTGAGGCGCCAAACTAAAGCTAGGTGCATTTTTAAAGGTTGAGCTGACTTTGTGAGAAAGATTAGGTGCTCCAAAACTTGGTTTAATTTGCAAAGAAAGTTTTATTCCCCACCCCCACCTCCTTCAAACATGGATTATTTGCTGGGGGAGGAGAAATTGGCCGTGGGTGTGCAGTGAAACCTCTTGAGTTCCAAAGCCTCAAATTCCAGTAAGCCAAGATGAGATGTTTATATATAAATGTCACTATATGGGAGGAGGAAATTTTGATTCTATACCTTCCCCTCCCCCCATCTTGCACAGAATATTCATTTCCTTTTGTTTTGATTATACACTTACATCCATGTGTATCCTTTTGTTGCAGCATGTAGAAGACCCGGGTATTAACATCCCAGATCAAACTGTAATTAAGAAAGGTAAGCCATTTCCTTCTACATTCCAGGCATGTCCTTACAGGCGTAGTGCTATTTAAAAGAACTCGCAGAGCTGTATTTATTTTTTTCAAATAGGATTTCCTAAAGGCTCAGAATTAGCAAATAGATGGCATAGAACAGCAATGCTTAAATGATCGGCTTTCAGTATGTTAGTAATGGCAACAGGCTAGCTTTGTTCATGATTTGACCATTTAATTTAGTTTAATGATATCTAGACAAACACATGAAATGTGTAATAGTTGAACTGATTTGGAAGTGGCATTTCAATTTTGAAATGGTTTAACAGTTTAGTTAATCCATTGTGTGAGTGGCCATGAGTGTTAAGAAGTGTATAATGCTAAAATAGTGCAAATAATTCAACATTAATATAAAAGCAATTGTGTTTTTGTTAACACTCCTTAGCAGAGGAAGAAAAAAACTTTCATGTTCTTCAATTTAATTTCTCATTAGCTGTTTAAGGGTTTTTAAACTTTGTGAATTAGGTTAACAAAAATTTGGCTTTTGGTTAAAATTAGCATCTTGAAGATGTCAGGATTATTAGCATAATTGTTCAGAGCAGAAATTGTTTTTAAAAAGTGTCAAGTGATTTGGGTGGATTTGTAATTTGTATTGTGTTTAGTGAGTAGAAATAAAGTTTACTGGATTAAATGCTATTCACAGCAGCTTTTTTTGTTGTTGTTATGGTAGCAATGTTACATTACAGGAACCTAGGCACCACCAGAGGACGATGCTATATAAAACTGTTCTCATTTCTAACCCCAATCAGTATATTGTTAGCTAAAGTTTCATTTTTGCATCTGTGAAGTCTTTGTCACGTCAAATTAGATGTGCAAGGGATAAATCTTAAGAGATGCTCTTTCCAAGTCGACATGATAATTGGCTCTTTTATTAGTAATCTCTCAAGAGTTCGTTTAACTCCTATTGTCTCTATTAGCCTCCCCAGAGCTATTAATGTCACAAGTGATCTATCCAAAACCTAGAGCCCCCCACCTCCCCATACGTCTAGAATATCCCCATTACGGAGGGAGGAGTACTGAGGAGAATGTATGCATATTATTATATATGTCTCCTTGTGGAATTTTAAAATACAAATGCATACAGTACTTAAATGGTTGTGAATGCATCTGAATTATATTGATGTTGAGAAATGTAACATGGTAGTACACTTTTTCCTGGCCCTGAATTTTTTTCTAACTATGGTGGGGCCGACAATGAAGAGCTTATGATTTTAACTAGTAAGAATATATCCTCTCCCCTTGCCAATGAAGACACTTAAGCAGACAAGGATATTAACTATTTGCTCAACAAAAGGGCATATTGCTAGTGTCTTTGGTAGGCCTGTTTATCCTTTTTCTCTCCCAGTTCAAAATGGGGCTGTGAAATGGATTTCCAAAACTCGGGTCCTTTTCAAAACTAAACGTAGGAAAGGGCCTATTTATCAAAAGGATGGGGCATGTGTGGTGTGTGACAAGAGAATCCACCACCTCCCAGATTGGTGCCTTAACTGAAATGTTCACTTACAGGCCACTTCAGCCATCTAAACTCTCTGCTGATCTTTATTACAGGTCTTGGGGACAATTTCTCCCCAACACTGAACCCCCCACCCCACAGAACCTCCGAAGTACACATAGCTTGCTCTCGGTGTGCAAACGTAATCCCCTCCCCTGCACCCTATACCGGTACTCCAGCATCTCTCCTCGGATGAGAGCCCAGGGGGTCACAATTTCACCACCATCTCTAGACAGCACCCCGAGGGCTAACAGGGAAGGGTCCAGGCAGAAGCACAGGCCTGGCTGGTGGGGCGAGGTGGGGGCGCCTCCCGGCCGCCGGGCGAGGTGCGCCGAGGGGCTGAGGCTCGATCCCCAGGACGGGAATACTGCAGGGAATAGGACAGAAGCTGGGGGAAAGGAGCCACAGGATTTTTCAGGGCTGGAAGGAAAGTGGGGGTTGCGGCGCAAGCCGGGGCGAGGGCCGGGGTCCGGCAGGACTTAGGAGAGACCCCCGACGCCCACACGCAGCTTCCCCGTCTGTCTCCGCAGGCCCCGTGTCCCTGTCCAAGTCCAACAGCAACGCCGTCTCCGCCATCCCCATAAACAAGGACAACCTCTTCGGCGGCGTCGTGAACCCCAACGAGGTCTTCTGTTCAGTTCCGGGTCGTCTCTCGCTTCTCAGCTCCACCTCGAAGTACAAGGTCACGGTGGCGGAAGTACAGCGGCGCCTCTCACCGCCCGAGTGTCTCAACGCTTCGCTGCTGGGCGGAGTGCTGCGGAGGTGAGGCCCGGCGCCGCCCTGCCCGCCCCGCCCCGCCCCGCGGCCCGGGGAAACACTGCGCCTGCGCCTGGGCGGCGACGCAGACGGGCCTCGCGCCACGGCCCTCCCTTCGCGGGAAAAGAAAGGGGCGGGGAGAAGGGCGTAAAACCGGGTGGGTGGGAGCTGGGGGCGGGATGAGGCGGCGCGCGCCTGCGCTCTCCGTAGCCTTCCCGCGCGCTCGGCGTTCTGGCGCGCGCTCGGGTCCGCGGCCGCCGCGCACTCCCCGGGCCCTCCGCCCCCAACCCACCTCCCCGCGCGCACGCGCAGCTCGCTGCACCGCGGGTTCAGTGCCGGCCGCTGCAGCGGCGGGGCGCCGTGCAGCCGCCTTTTCCCTACTCGCGTACACCTTGCAAGCCCTGGAAAACTTCCTCTCAGGCGCCTTACTTTGCCTTACCTCCGTGTAGGGTCTCCGACGGTAACCCACCGTCCCTTGAATAGGGTTTTAAGTAGAAGACGTTGGCTTTCTCTTGAGTCCGCCGCCCTCCCCCCAACTCCCCGTACCCGTCACCTCTGGCCAGACGGCGACTCCCTGTGCCTAAGGCGCTCGCGTTAGTGGTTCCTAGGTACTGCTGCCGCGATGTGCTCCAGGCAGCACGCAAGACACGTGTACGTGCATTATGTGTAGTCGTTACCCACGAGTGCATGTTAACGTGGCCAGGGATACACGTCTCAGCCCTGCGAGGTCGGAAGGTTTCCTTTCGTAGATAAGATTTGATAAGGGTTTGCAAGGTGAAGCACCTTCCCTCAGGGCAGGTTTTTCCCTCCCTTGGGCTTCGTCCTCCTAGGGTTCCACCCAACTTTGTGAATGGTGGGCGTTGGGTTGAACTTTCCCAGATGATCTTTTCTTTTTTCTTCTTTTTTTAATTTTTATTATTTTTATTTTTTTTAAAGATTTTATTTATTCATTTGAGACACAGAGATACGGGGAGAGAGAGAGAGAGCATGAGGGGGGGAGACAGAGGGAGAGGGAGAAGCAGGCTCCCTGCCGAGCAGAAAGCCCGATGCGGGGCTCGATCCCAGGACCCTGGAATCATGACCCGAGTCGAAGGCAGACGCCTAACCATCTGAGCCACCCAGGCGCCCCTCTTCTTTTTTTTTTTTTAATAAGAAAGTAGACCAAGAACTTCACTGTTTTGACGTTTATTCATTTATGCATCTATGGACCCAGAGTCCCGCTCTGATGGGCATATCCCACACAAAGCCTATAAAACCATTTTTGGAAGGTTTTAAACATCAGCTTTTCCAATCTTTTCTTCCTCCTTCACAGTCATTTTGCTTCCCTTTGTAATCTTTTTCTGACACAGATCTGAATCCGCCCTCTGCTTTTTCCTCCCCTTCCCCCATCCCCAATATTGGAGACTGTTTACCTAGGGGAGTATAATCTAATCCACACAATTAAAGAGCACTTGAGTAGGGAATAAAATCTGAAATTAATTAATTTGCTGTTTTATTTAAACAATTTATCTTAACCACTTTCTGATTATGGGAGTCTATTTAGACATCTATTTAGAACCACCTCCATTGTCTCTGAAATCAGTGAAATTTTTAAAGGCTGATACCCGCTTTTGACATTTCTAGTTAGGCTAGTGACATGGCATGTAAACAGTTGGTAAAATGAATTTCCCATTGGGGCTAAAGCCAGAGCAAGAAACGTGAGAGTGATGATAACTTTGGTTACTCTGAAGAACCTAACAGCGGTTCTTGCAAAGACAATTTAAAGACCCCGTTGGGATTTGTGTGATTGTAACAACAGGGAAAATATACAGTAATCAGTTGAACTCAAAAATACCTCAAACCCTAGAGATGAGAACTGTGTTTGTTTGTTTGTGGTTCTTTAGAGAGTTGGGAAATCAAAACCTTCCAACCTGCCACCTTGGCTGCAAGAATAACTGAACACAGGGGGTGCTTTACAGTTTAGCATTTGTGTCCTGTGATCTTTCCGTACCATTCCTTCCTAGGTTTCCCTCCCTTAATATCTCGGGGCCATGATCCTTACTTTTTAAAAGCACATGTTAGGAAGTTGTCAGAGTGACTGTAATGCGACGCAGAGCAACCCAGTGTTTTCTAAATCCCTTTCTTGCATCTATTTGTGAAACAGGGCGAAGTCTAAAAATGGAGGAAGATCTTTAAGAGAAAAACTGGACAAAATTGGATTAAATCTGCCAGCAGGGAGACGTAAAGCTGCCAACGTCACCCTCCTCACGTCACTAGTGGAGGGTAAGCGAGTCCACTTGCTAACAAGAAGAGAACTGTCTTCTGGGAAAATGGATAATACTCAGTGGCCAGATGTTTGGTTCTATTTTGTGTCAATTGGGCAGTTTCGGGTTTTGTTTTGTTTTGTTTTTTCCCGGAGAATATAGCTGGAAGGGAACAGAATCCTGGCATGTCAAAAAACTATTTGTACTTACTCCTGTCCTCCTTTCTTCTTCCCCTTTGCCACAAAATTCCACTTCCCTAAGCCCAATTCTGACCTAAACAAAGTGAAAATTTAAGAACTGCATATTCTCCAAGTTCCTGTCTCCTCCACAGAGCTCAGCAGTAAACTACTTAAGCTATTCTGACATCTGCGTTTGAGAAATGCGTGACCATTACTTCCTGAATTAATTTGGGAATCTTTGACCTGCATCCTGATTTAAGACCGTCCTGAAAGCTCAGGGTTATATGCCCTTTTAGGTTTTTGTTTTCCAAACATATGCTCCCTTATCTCTTATTTAAATTGTGCTTCTCTAGTGGAGGGGAAGAAAAGTGAACAATTTTAGATTTTGAGTTGTTGGGCTAGGAAAGAGAAAAGACGTATAAGCATTGCAAAAAGTTTCTCATGGCAGTTTTTAACACACACACACACACACACACACAGCTTCCAACCCCTTCAAAACAAAAGCTACCCCTGTTCTCACTCCATGCTCTAGATACACTGTCATCAGAATCCACTCACATTCCTGCTTCCTCTGGATTCCTGTTAAGTGTTTCTGATACTAAATTGGCTTAAGTTTAGATGTGTTGGAATGAATGTATAAGCGGTCTTTGTGTTTTCCTTTGTGTTGTGTTGGAAATGTCTCATGCAAATAGGAAAAAACAACAACAACACTTAAATGATCAGGTAGATACTAAAACTACCATTTATATTTAAAGAAGGCATTTTGTCTTCTTTACACCTTACATTTGAGGAGGTACATCACAATGGGATTTGAGTTCCAGCTTTATAAAGAACTAAAATAAAGTTTAAAACTGTAAACTTGAGGAGGAATCCTCGGAGGCATTTGTAAATGGTGTTAAAGATGAAAATATAACTATTAAACAATAAGCAGTTGTTCAGGGCCAGAAACTCTAGTACAGTAGCTTTGCATTAAAAATAACATGAGTACGTACAGAACCCACTATCCATACCCCAAAAGAATTATGCGCCAAGGAAATGGTCGTGGTGGCTTTGGGTGTAGTGTGAGAGTGTGCATGGGCTTGGGGGTTGAGTCCTGTAGCAGGGAGGCAGTTTCTGGAGAACTGTTATTGTTTGTGATCCGCTCCATTTTATGGAAACAAGCTCTGCAGAGAGGGCTTTGATGCTCTAATTGGCGCATGCGTTCTTCCGGAGCTGGAGCTAATGGCAGGAAGCCCTGCAGTAAAAACCAACTGGTTCAGGAAATTAAAACCAAAGATTCGAAAATCAACAACACAGACAGACTCAGTGGAGTGACCCTCAAATCCTCTTGGTTAATCGGTTTGGATGAACAGATAATTATATGCGATCAAGTTAAAATGTAAACCTTTAGTTGTTCCCTTTGCAGAAAAGCTCAACGAGTAATTATGAATATCATTTATGAATGTGTTGATAGGTGTGAGGTTGGAATACAAGAAACATTTTAAAAGAGAAGTTGGGAAAATGTCATCAGGGTGGGGGATGGGACCGGAGGGTGGTGGATGGGATTTACATTTTCAAATCCTCTTGGCCTTCTAGGACAAGTGGCCATTTTTCCTGATAAATTCATCTGCCAGATCCTACAGAGAAGGAAATAAAATGCCTGAAACGAGAAAACAATTAGTTTGTGTTTTCTTCAACATCTGGGTTAAGAAAATAAGAGTGTTGGGAGAAAAATCTGACCTCAACTCTTTACATTCTCTTGCACTCACCTCCTCTCTCGCGTCCTGCCAGGAGAAGCGGTCCACCTAGCCAGGGACTTTGGGTACGTGTGCGAAACCGAATTTCCTGCCAAAGCAGTAGCTGAATTTCTCAACCGACAACATTCCGATCCCAATGAGCAAGTGACAAGAAAAAACATGCTCCTGGCTACAAAGTAAGGCATTTCCCTTACCTCTCTGGGGTCTCAGTGTCTTATTGTCAAGAGAAACAAAAATCAAAATCGTTTCTGGTCGCACTTTTCTCCTGCCTTCGTTTGGTGTTAATCAGCTTTGTTGTTGTAAATAATTGACGTTAACAGCGAAGTCTTAGAATCCATACTCTACCTTAAAGGGGAAGTGTAGGTGGGATTCTTGGTGCGTCTCCATTCTTTTTTTTTTTTAAGATTTTATTTATTTATTTGACAGAGAGAGACAGCGAGAGAGGGAACACAAGCAGGGGGAGTGGGAGAGGGAGAAGCAGGCTTCCCGCGGAGCAGGGAGCCTGATGCGGGGCTCGATTCCAGCACCCTGGGATCATGACCTGAGCCTAAGGCAGACGCTTAACCGACTGAGCCACCCAGGCGCCCCTGTGCGTCTCCATTCTTTATCCTCTCTTCTGCTCCCCCTTCTCAGTTTGAAAAAAAAAAAAAAAGAAAGAAATTAGTGTGTATGGGGGTGGAGTATCCTTGGGATTTGATGGAAGCTGAGTATGGATTGGTGACTATGTTGTTTTAGAAAGACCAGCATCGAGTCTGTAAATGAGTAACAGGCTTGCCTGTATCAGTTTTTGTCTCCTATCAATATGTTCTCTGAGGGCAAGGATTAAGCAGTGGCCTGCAAAATGTGCAAGTCAGAAGTTTTCCTAGTTTCAACCTTAATCCCTTATCCCATTTCTTGCCTTCCTTTTGCCTCCCTCCTGGAAAGTCTCACTCTGTCTCTCTGTCTCTCTCTCTCACACACACACAGAGCCCACAAGTTTTAGCCTACAGGCGAGATGTCAAATAGGTTTCAAATGGCCCAAGTTATATTCCCATCAGTGCTTGGGCTGAATAGGCTTCTCCAGGTGGTGTGTGAAAAGAAAATGACTGTTTTGATATGTTTTCTGAAAATTAAAAGGCTTGTTTGGAAGCCCTTAATTATCAAAGTCGATGTCACAGGAGGACTTGGAACCAGAGGGCAGAGGCTGAGGCCTCAGGCAGGACAGTTTCCGGCCTGGGGACATCAGCTGGCCTTGGAGAGGGCAGCCTGCCAATGCTCCCCCATTTTCCCTCCTCCCTACCTGCCTCATACCAACACCCCCACCCCCTCCAGGCCACTGCTGTCCCAGGAAGGCCCCAGCTAGGCCTTGGTTCCCAGATTCAGAGACAGCTTCCAGTGTATAGGCCTCCCCTGTCGGTATTTCCAACTTTTCAAGGCCCTTTCTGAGATTTCAACTTTTTCTATTCCCTTAGCTTCCTAAGCACATCCATATTCACAATTTCCCTAGAGATCCCCCACCCTCTGTGTGTTGGAATGGGAAATTGACATTGAAGTGTCTATTTCTTCTCAAAAATCACTCTGAGGGGCGCCTGGGTGGCTCAGTTGGTTAAGCATCCCACTCTGGATTTCAGCTCAGGTCATGATCTCAGGATCTTGAGATCGAGCCCCGCCTCAGGCTGGGGCATGGAGCCTGCTTGAGATTCTCTCTCTCTCTCTCTCTCTCTCTCTCCCTCTGCCCCTCCCCCCAGCACTCTCGCTGTCTCTCTCTGAGCTCTCTCTCAATCTCAGTCTGAATTGTCCCCAAGTAACAGGTTTTTTGTGCCTTTGTTTAAAGGCAAAATAATCCCAGGAAAAGTTTGCCTTTCTGTCTGCATCCAACCTGATTTGAAGTGAATGGGCAGAGATTCCATCCCACCAACTGAGGTCTCTCTAGAACAGAGCAGGAAGTGGGTCTCTGATATTTTGAACAGGACATGCTCTTGGCGGCTACTGGGGAGATGCTTATGTTTCTGACTCCTCGTGCCTCTCCTTCTCCTTTGTTTCCCTTCTAAATGTGTGGAATGTTTTTGTGTGTCTGGGGTGTTTGGTGTGAGTGAGAAAGGAGGGGGCTGGCAGTTAGGTGTAGCTGAGGGGTGAGAGGGAGAGAGACATTTGTGAAGGTAGGGAGGGCCCTGTTTCAGTGGACATGGAGGGGCGACTGGGTCTTCCCACATGTGGCCACCCCCCAAGTCTGTCTCTGGGGCCTTGGGTCAGGTCCGGGTTCACTGGATTCCGGGGTTGGTAGCTGCAGGGGGAAAGGTTTTCTCTTTGCTGCTGGCGCTGCCCACAGGGGAGCCTCAACTCTCTCTCTCCCTCTCTCCCCCCCTCACCCCTCCCTCTCTCTCTCTGCTTCACTTGTGCTGCAGACAGATATGCAAAGAGTTCACTGACCTGCTGGCTCAGGACCGATCTCCCCTGGGGAACTCCCGGCCCAACCCCATCCTGGAGCCTGGCATCCAGAGCTGCTTGACCCACTTCAACCTCATCTCCCACGGCTTCGGTAGCCCAGCGGTGTGCGCCGCCGTCACGGCCCTGCAGAACTATCTCACCGAGGCCCTCAAGGCCATGGACAAAATGTACCTCAGCAACAACCCCAACAGCCACACGGACAACAGCGCCAAAAGCAGTGACAAAGAGGAGAAGCACAGAAAGTGAGGCTGTCCTCCCGCCCTGCCTCTCCGGCCTCACCAGCCTGGGAGCCCACCCACCCAGTCTCCGCCCCACCTACCCCGCCCCCCCCTCCGCGGGCAGGGGACAGCCCCGGGACCGCCCCGGGACCAGCACACCCCCTCTGCTGCTACTGCCGCTTGCTGCTTCCGCCGCCGCCACCTTCGTCCCCCAGCGTCTGGGGGACTCTCTGCCATCATCAGCGGGGACAGCCCCCTCCCCCCACCCCACCCCCCCGCTGACCTGGCCCCCTGCTTCGACGTCCCACGTCGTCGGCGCCAGCTCCCCTTTGCCCTCCTGTGGAGCCTAAGAGAACAGAACAGGCCGTGAAGCCAGCAAAGACAAGTTCTGTCCAAGTTTGTGAACCATTTTTTAGAAAAACAAAAACAAAAAACAAAAAAAACCCCAGCAACAACTCAACAACGACCACCACCACAAAAAAGTTAAAAACGGTTTTTTTCTAAAAAAAAAAAAAAAAAACCATAAAAAATTAAAAAAAAATTATATGAGCTTCATGGGACTGAATCACCACCTTCCCTTACATACTTCAGTTCAGAGTGTAGCCATACTAGAAAAAAAAAAAAGAAAAGGAAAATGACGTTTTTATCAGTATTGTGAATAAACTTGAACACAAATACACGAAGTTCCATGTCATGTCTTCAGTTGTAGAAGTTTTTCCTCTTCAAGGTAAAGCGACCAACTTGAACTTTATCTGGCAACACGATTCACAGTTATATAAGGGAATCAGTGTTCACGTCTCTGTATATATTTATTTATGTGTAATTTAATGGGAATTGTAAATATGGTGAGTCTGTTTTAAGCCTCTTTTTTTTTTTTTTTATTTATCTGGTGATCTCGTTTACCTCTTGTTTAGTGGGTTTTGAATCTTCCCTATTAGTTCTTCATGTGGTTCATGGTACTTATTTAGAAATTCAAGGTTTGGGGGATTTATTTTTTCCCCCTCTGGGATTCATGAATTTAGCCCTGTTGTAGCATGTTAAAGATGACAATGAAACAGCTGAACAAATAAAAAAAAAAAGTAAAATAAAATTTTATATATAATTAGTATTACATTTAGCTTTTCATTGAACTGAAAGAAAAAAGTGATATTGGACCCTGGAAAGATTTTTAAACTTGACTGGTTTAATAACCCTTCTGTGTATTGTGGGGAGAAAAAAAAGTTTATTTTATTCCACTGTCCTCCCTTGAAAGCATCTTTTGAGCAATAAATGAGTATTGTCTTTAAACCAAGGGTAAGGGATTCCCCCCCCACCCCACACTCTGTCTCTCTCCTTGCTCTCTCTTTTTGTTCAAAGAACTTCAAACATTTGGGACCACCTGGTATTCTGTATTTTCACTGGCCATTTTGGAAGCAGTTCTAGTTGTATTGTATTGAGTTGTGCTGGCGTAGTCTCCATGCCTGTCAATGTATCATAGTCCTTTGTTGCCCAGATAAATAAATATTTGATACGCTTTATGTCGATTTTTTTTTTTATTCAGTGGCTGTCTTTACCCAGGCGTATTTTTGTTCTTGGCAGTATTTTTTATTCAGTATGGTTACAGTAATTGAGTTTAACTCTCCCTTGGCAATTGCTCCTTGCAATAAGCAGCTGAACCCATTGTTTCCCTCAAGTATAATAAAAACTTACTTTCAACTTGGAGTTCAGAGCAGGGTATCATTTAGATATTCCACTGAGTCTGTATTCAGACAAATGACACAATAAAACCCAATGTATTCTTTTGGATAAAAGATTGTTTGTACTGCTAAAGGAATGACATACTATCTTTTCCTTACTAGAAACATTAATTTTATTATTAAAAATAAAGTTTTATTTTATTTATGTTGATCCTTTAGGTTTTCGTTTGTGTTTTGGAAACCACAGTATAAAACCTTCAGAACCAAATGTTAAGGATGACAAGGAAGATGGGGAACAGAACAGAAGACCCTCCCCCTCCCCCCTGCCCCCCCCACCCCCATAACTACTTTGGAACCTGTCTCAGAGGATAACTGAAATTTGAATTGTTAGTTCATTAGCACAAAGGAAATACCCACTTAAACCTTCACTTGCTAGCTCGGGTTCTCAGTGGCTAAGATATGTAAATGAGCAAAATCTAGCTCTAGTTTTCTGGGAAGAGAAAAGGAATGGTGGCAGAAATGCATGAAGAGGAGAGAAAGAGAGGTACCTTGTCTCCTATTTATTTTAGTATTTTATTTAGGGATGAGTTCACTACTATGCTGTTCTTAGGATCTCCTGAGGTAGCAGAGGTAAGTGGGAAATTATGTCAATTCCCAGAATCTTTTCTGCCTGCCCTCCCTAAATGTCGACCCACCCTTTTCTATCAGCAAGGGGCTCCTCCTAGGACCTTTCAGAAATATAAAATGTGCTCTGAGGTGGGGTGGACAGGATGGGGGAGGGCTGCGACTCCTGCTTCTCCAGACCTTTCCTATCTGTCTTCTACAGTAACAGGGCTGTATGCTTAGCTCTTACAGCAGGAAGGACTTCCTGTACATAAAAATGGCGAATTCAGAGCTTTTCTAAAGTCTGATTTGGAAGGACTTTGTTTTGGAAGTGAGGGGGATTTTTAATGGTGTTTAAGAAGAAAATGGAGGTAGTTAACTGGAAGGTTTATAGGAAAGGTCATAGAAAAAGTGTCTAGGTATACATACTGGAGGAGATTTAACATTTGTTCATCCGGTTTGACATTCCGAAGGACTAAGGAAGCAAAGCATTAGACAGTGTCCATTTTGCAGCCTTTTGCTTTCTAATCTCCTTATGGAAGGCTGTGTAAAATCAATCTCGACAGACGAACGAGAGTTGGTGGAGTCTAAATTCTATTTTCCAAAGCCAGAGAATTCACAACAATGGTGGGTTTAAAAAAAAAAAATTTTTTTTTTTTTTTCAAATGGAAAGTGTATCCTCAGAAAGCCACGCGGCAATTGTTTTTTAAAGCGGTTATTTATTATTTCCTAGAGAGACTGGTTAACTGTAACGTAGATGTAACAAAATAATGAGGCGAATGAACCCTAACTGTACATACTCTTGACAGAAATGAAATGCACACAGCATTGTAGCAGGTGAAGTGAAGCATTGTCTATCAGGGCTGTTTTTCTTGGCTGCATCTCAGATTGTGTGGGGGATCCTAACCTCAGGCACAATAACATTCATAAACAGCCATACATTGCTGCTCTTTCTCCATCGACACATAAATACTCATTTTAAAACGAAAACAATCTTATTAAATACCATTCATTCATATCTGGATTTACAGATGCTTGTTATGTTGGAAAACCTGAACCCAATATAATCCTTGCATCCTGAGAAAGATAGAAAGGAAATAGTGGGTTAGAGCATTACAAGGTCATAATAAACAATGGTTTCCAAATGCACAGAATTAGTTATTTTTATTCTATAGTTGGACATTTTGAGAAGTAGGATACTGTGACTTTCTTTTTCTTTCTTTTTTTTAACAAAAATTTAAAAGAAGTTATATATATATTTTAAGGGGTGAGAGGAGTAAAGGGGTTATTATTAAAAATTTTTATGGGACTAATTGAAGACTATATAGATTTTTTACTTTATCTGTTGTGATCAATGTGTATTTTTTAAAGCACATGGTGATTACTTGACAAGTCACATGTTTATGTACTAACAACCGTGATTCTCTTTGGACTAACTCAAATTAGGATACATACTTGAATTATAAGGATGCTTGCTAGGCTATGCTAATTACCACACCCAATTTTTATAAAAACACAATGCTCCTTTATTACCCCTTCTATTCTCCAACACCCTTTAAAAATCACAATCCAATCCATTCCTCCCCAAAATCGAATATTAATATAATTTGAGTTCTTGATGGAACTACCATCAGGACTGCAATGCCCCGCAGCTGAAATAATATTTAAAATAGAAGGGATTTGACATTTGAGAAGTCAGTGGCTTGAAATACCCAGTTGTACTTAGCTAATTCAGTCCTTAACCTCTGGTTTCAAATAAATCAATTACAGTCGATTCCACTTCAGTTCAGAAGTGCACAGGGTTTTAGTTAATTGAATACATTTTATTCACTTGCTAGGAATATTCATTTATCAAAATTCCAAATTTAATGTACATTTCTTTACAACTCAGGTTATGTTAGACTGCACAATCAGATCAAATTTGCCCTGGTTTCCCCAAATCCTGCTAAAAATCTGAATTTCACCAATCTTTATGAAACAGGTTCTCCCCAATTCTTTCTCAATCAAAAGTAAATTCGTAATAATTTCATGTCAGGTAGGAGAGCTGCTTTCCCCCACAAAGAAAAAATCCTATGTGGTCATCAACCTTGTGTTAAGTTTAAATAGGTTAAGAACAGAGCTGGATTAATTAAGTTTTAAAAATGTATTGACCTGAAATTAAAAAAAAAAATTACGCATGGTTTTCATTAGAGCTTAACTTTGTTGCAACTGACAGGTATGACAGAATTTTGTGGTCTTAAAGCCGCAGGCTTCTTTTCTTAACCCTCTCTCTTCCTCTGCCTCCTCCCTCCGGCTTTTGGAGAAGTGCTTGGATAAATAGCGAAATTGTTAACTGAAAGCAGTATGGTTAAATGTGCCCAAATGAAGTTGTGCTTTAAACAGATATTGATGTATGCAGTGTTTTATATTTATTGTTTGCAGCATCTTGCTGGCAGCAGTTTACTGTTTGGAAAGGAAAGGGGTTAATTAGCGTCATTATCAATCACTAATGCTTGCCTAACGTGTCCAAAGAATAATCAAGTTAGAGGACGGCATGAAGCCAACAGCTGCTTCATCCCAGTTACAGATCTCCTCCTCAGCCACTCAGTTATAGGGTTGGGGGGGAGGGAGGTGAAGTGAGGGGTAGAATCCTCATTGCTTGGGTAAAAGGGCTATAAAAACCGGGTCAACTCGCTAGAGATTCAAGAGGCGGAAAGTACAACATAAATAACCAGCATTTTCATTCTTTGAGTTACAGGTGCAGAGATGGCTGTGGTCCTGAGGCCAGAGTACTGAAATTTGTTCTTTAATTTGCTTGATTATCCAAGTTGGGCATTTGAAGAAACACATCCATATTTCCCCATCGCTTATGCCATGTGGTAAAAAGAAATCTAAAATGCAAGGAGAGAAGAAGAAGAAAATACCCCACATACCACAGACAAATCCAAGTCAACTCCTCGCATAACCCAACCACCCATCCCAGAAGAATGAAACCACACAACACACCAGGTAATAGCAGTTCTCACACCTCTGCATCACCTCTTAGGATGCTCAGGGATATTTTTCCTTGTGAATTTCAATGAACAATTCTTTTCTATATTAACCTTGATTGCTGCGCAGATATGCCATCTCAGTTTCCAACTGTTACTCCTACTCTTAACAATACTGTCCTCCTCGTGAGCACATTGTGGGACAGAAACTGAAAAAGTTTGACCCTGTTATGGGTTCCTCTTAGAAGCTTGTCTGTAGAAACATTATTTGCCAAGTTAACCTTGAGTTAGAACTGAAAATCCCATTAATGATCAGAGTTTACTCAACTGTGTTTCTGAAGGCAGGGATGAATTAGTCCTAGGTGGAGTATTTATAAACAGAGAGCAGTTGTATGATTGAACATGACATTGATTTCTTTCTACAAAAGCAGTAGCTCAAACTCATCTTTGCCCATGTGGACAAAGATCAGAAACATTCTCAATCAAATCACCAACACAATTTAAGTCTCCCTCCAAAGAAGTAACTGGTGTTTCCCATTGAGGGCAGCAGGGTGGTCATCGAGAGTGGGAAGAGATAAGGGTATTGGGATGGAAACCTATGTAATTCATGTATGTGAGAGGTTCCTGTGTTTGAAAAATAATATTCTGCCCCTTAGGATCATGATTGCAAAAGGAAAGGTGGGAATGAAGATTTTAGGCTGAACCTGGGGCCCCTATAACTAACTTTAAATGTTATTCATGTGTAAAACTGTGTTTTCTTTTTCATCTTTGATGCCCAGAAAGGACAGCACAGAGCCAATTTTGCTTTCACAGAGAGATGTATTTCTCAACAAAAAAAGCAACACTTAGGATATTGCTGGAGAAATCTGTGTTAGAGGAGAAGCAAGTACAGGTGAGATGAACTTTCCATAGTGGATGTACTTAAGGATATTTATAACATGGATTTCCTTCCTTCCTTCCGTCTTTCCTCTCTCCCTCCCTCTCTCCCTCCCTCCCTCCTTCTCTCTTTCCCCCCCTCCTTCCTCCCTCCCTCCTTCCTTTTCTCTCTGTCTCTCAGTTTTTAATGTGAAAACAAGTCTGACCATTTTGGGGAAATTTCGTAGAATTAGTTTGACTTTTCATACTAACTTCCATTTAGAGGTGGGAATATTTTCAACAGCAGGACCTTTTTTTTTTTTTTTTTGGTGGCCCAGTTCCATGCTATGCTTTTGCTGCTGGTGATTTTTCTATGGAAACTA